TTAAATAATAGAAATCTGTAAACCTGCGAGGGGTGTTTGAAAATCTGTCTACACTGACTGATGGACGAGCATGTGTTATGTACCTCTACCATAAGTTTCCCGTGTCGATAGCCAATAGCAATTGCGAAAAATATTTGTCACTTTCATGGACAAATTTCGCAGCGCCCCTAGCGGTCACAAGAAGAATTATCATTATAGCAGCTGTAAAGTTCGTCCAGGGAAGTACTGCCACCTTACCTATTTCTGCCGCCAAGCAGTACTGTGAGCATTCCAGTTTTGAGGGGTGCTGGTGAAATTATAGGCACATGGGACTTCAACTAATGTCTCAGGGTGATGGGAGCAGAGACAGTGCACCTCAGATCGTTGCGATCTAAAGCTTAGTCTGGCACTGCAGGCGTGTCGTTTACCATGACTTGACACGACCCTTCACTTAATATCTATATAATATAATATAAATAAAAATATGTATACATAGAAATTACGTAGTAGTAGTACTATTAACACCGTGAACTCATGGTAGAGGCAGTTAAAATTTTGGTATGGAATATTAAAGCAATAACAACGAGAGCAAGTAGTCTGAAATGTAAGTATTTGGTTAGACAAATATGTCATATGTGATAGCTGACGATTTGCAGTAGGGTGTAGCCCATTTCGATCAGATATAAATTTTAATGTAACATTGCCGCAAGCTCTGTCAAATTATATTTCATTGACATGCTCGTATTTACTATTTAATTAGTAAATCCAGCAATGAGATGCAGATAAATAGGAATTAAATTTTTATCCATACAGCAACTGTACCCTTGACCTCATACAGGTTGATAAAAAATCACTGTTCATTTTCTTTTCTGTACATTAATAACATTTAGTAACAGAATACATTAAGTACAATAAAACAAAAAACAATTTCCCCATTTATTTGATGTTAATATTTCCCAATAATTGCTAATGCATAAATAAAATTGAGCGATCGGCGCCGAGCACCAGCACGTCGCACCACGCGACTACAGATCTGCGCTAACGCATCGCGCGTCAGTTTATTACTTTGTTGTCTATCAAATACATTATATCTATATATCAAATACACTCGCGCGTTGACTCCGCCCACTGCCCCACACCGTTGTTGTTGCTATAGTAACTCAATCAACACACCAAAGGAGGATTTTTAAAAGAGGATTGTGTTGGTGGTGATCAACACAATCCTCCTTTAAAATGGTCAGCGGTTTTTTTATCACCATGTATAACAGTTTACCTCTTTTAAGTGGGAAAGAACATCTCAGAGAAGCAAAGTCGACTAGTTAAAACTATGACAGAAAGGTATGGATGTGCCAAAACAACGAAATATGTAAATCACAATTCATTGCTATGGAATTAACTGTAACCATGGATCAATAACTCCACAGGACGAGTAGATTCGTTTGGAAATCGTATAGAAATGAATCTATACAAAAACTTGTTATCGTATTCACTTGAATCGATTTTCATAAAAATCTAATTGCAATGTGCACCCCTAATAGTAAGTGAGAGTTCATAGGAATGCAAACTATTGAGTGAAGTTGCCTCTTTTTCGTCTAAAAAGATTTTTACATCGAAATTTCTAATAAGTATGGAATTAAACCAAATTGTGTATTATTTTGCACGATATTGGGCAGCAATGGTTTAAAACTTTGGGTAAAAACCCGGTTGATTAGGTTTTAACCCACTGCCCATCTCTGGGTAGATACTATCCACTCTATGTACATTTGAAGTTTAGGTAAATATACTCTGCTTCTTCCGATCTTAACTTATTACAAAACTAAACTAAAATTATTTCAAAATCGCAACAGTGAAAATGGGACAAATAATTTTTCATTTAAAATTTTTAACTTAACTATAAAGCTGTGCTTACTAAGCCATCTAGCTACAATTCAACTGCCATTGCAATTTTTTCGTAATCTGCTTTTCAATGGCCAATCGATAGCACGTATGGTGTAGTATACTAATTATTTAACGTTAAATAGCTGATCAATCGAGATAAAAAATAAGATATGCATAGTAGTTTCCATGGTAGTTTTATAAGGCAACATCGATCTTTAGTATTGCCATCACTGTCATTCATCGAGTATATAACCAGAAATAGAAACGAAATAAGGGCTATCCATCCCTGGCAACTCATCGGGCAAATGGGTATTATATCACTTTTAAATATCAACTCTCGTTTGATCTGAAATAACAAAATTAGAAAACTGAAATAATACAGCGCCAACAATTGGCTATTTACAAAAATATTCTGTATTTCTTGTAATAAAGATAATTAATATCTCTAACAATGGGGGTGCTCCAGTCAGTGTGGGAAAAACAGCAAAACATCTAATTACAAAACAAATGGGATCACTTTTCATCGCTAATTAATAATAATAATAACGCACACACTCAACATAGCACCGCACTAGGGAAATCCTGTGTCGCGGATGCCATGGACACACACATAGACAACCATAAATTACACCCAAACTCACGAGAGAAATAAATGTAGGCCATACAATTATTTCTCCCGGCCCGGGAATCGAACCTGGGACCTATCCGCAGCAGTCCGGCGTTGTAACCGTTCGGCCACGGAGGCAATTAAATATCGTCTGCTTAAAGGTAAAACCACATAAGTAATATTTTCCATAAAAAATCTCTAAATTATGCACCTGTTGTAAGAAAATCACCTTTTTTCTTGCCATAGCTATACAAATTAAAAACTTCTTGTTTAAAATGTCACTTATGTGGTTTTACCTTTAAGTAGACGATATGTAATTTTGCCATTTTCGTCCTTTATAGTAAAGTTCAAATTAAAGTGGTAGATTTGAAGTCAATTGTCTCGAATTCGGGCTGGCCAATCGGAGCGTAGTTGTCACAGTAATGATTTGGCAGAATAGTTTGCAAACAAATTAAATAACATTTCGTCTCTATTTCTAGTTATATACTCGATGCTCTCATTCCACTGACGCTCTATTAGGACTCAACTGCCATTGCATCTAGATTTTAGCAGAACAACAAATATTGCAATATAATCTCAGTAGAGTCTGAATGAAATTACAAAGAGTAGTATAGTTCCAAGAAAATTAGCAGACTTGGGCCATTGATCTTGAATTTGTTTATTTTCTTTGACGATGATATTCAAACCTCATAATACATTTTTTAAAAGTTAGTCAAATGATGAAGAAGTCATCAACAATTTTGAGAAATATTCTACAGGATTAACTCGATCACATACCTACTTTTATATTTGTGAAGGAAACAAGTGTTAAACGCAATGCGTTCAAAATATAGTGCATACGGGTAATTTTTAGGTTAGTTTTCTCTTAACATAATAATTTTATTATATTATCATATCATTTAATATTCGAGTGTAGTATCCTGAAATATTATTTAATATTTCACGACAATATACTCTAATATTTAAATAATGAAAATTGCCACCGGAATTAGGGTAGAGAATACTAACGTGAGAATTACCCATACTCTGTAATGAAATCGAAGTCAGTTTCTTGAGCTTATCTTATTAAATAGGGTGTTTTAAATAAAAACCATTATCTGATAATATTTTGTTTGTACATTTAAGAACAATATAAAATATCTTGCATTAATTGTTAGACCTTTTCACGTTTCCACATTTCTTAAAAATGTTGTTTACATTTTAGACTTCGATTCCATCTCAGAGTATAGTAAAAAAATTCATCTACCGAGGCAAGTGCATACACCGGCACATTTAGCTGAACACTAGATAAATCCCCAAAATAACGCAGTGTTTTTTTAAGTTTGGTCGTTTTAATAATATGACTTTTTTTTTTCACTAAATGTGCCGATGTGTGTATATCGCACGTTGAAACCAGTATCGTCACAAAGCGAAAATCTTTATTTTTTTAATGTAAAATCAGAAACATTAAATTTATATTCCCGAGAGTTAACTTTTTCGTTTAGTGATGGTATTGGTGTGATACAGTGTGATTTTTTGTTAACTGGGACAGTACGAGGAAATCCGAAACCATAGGAGATAAAGGGAAACTGTCTTAAGTACAATTAGGTTTTCTTTCTGTGAAACCCAATTGCATACTGATAAGCAGTAACGTAGTAAAGCAATAGATGGCGCTACGGCTAAAAAGTCGTTCACAAACCAAATACAAAGATACGACAGCAAGCACAGAATTCGTGATTTCCGCTGGTTAGTTCCGTGGCTTAGTTGGCATAGCGTCTGTCACGGTTTGCTAGAAGACATCGATTCGAATCCGGCCGGATCGAAGGGTTTCTTTTCCAAGTGTTCGATTTTTGTATGAATAATTATAGAAAGTAAGAACGTGTCAACGAACGTGATCATAGTTTTGCAAAAATGACACCTAAATTCTTTTTTAGTCGTGTTTGATGTTTGCTTTTTGTTGTTCGGGAATTATAATAATGAACCGCAACAATTCATCAGTCCAGAGGTGACAACAGTAACAGTTTTAATTTTAAGAGTACATTTTAAACCAAACTATAAAAAACAACGAAAAAATCTTGATGTGCCTCTTTCGCAAAACTATGAACATGTTTGACACGTTAGTGCTATCAGCACCCAATTTGACTTAAGAAAATTTTTTGGTCCAAGTGTGAGTTGTTCACAAAAATTAATAATTACATTTTTTTAATGCTAATCGACTCACGTGTCTTGTCTTCTGAACTAAGTCGATCAGAATTAATTTTTTTTGTCAATATTAGACATTTTTATCTAATTCAAACTCACTCGAACTCACTAAAAAGTCACAATGTGAATTTTTTTTTCCAAAAAAAAATAAGACCTAATGTTTCCCAAGACAATTTCCTTGTACCTCCTATGGTTTCAAATTTCCCAATACTGTCCCAGCTAAAAAAGCACTGTACGTTTAATTAAATACTACAACATAACACATGAACAGAAATAAGCTCTATTACAATAATCATGTGTGATTTCTTTTTTTAATACCTAAAGCACGCACATTTGCATGTCTTCGGTCCAACTTCAGGAGTACTTAAATTAACAATTATTTATTTATTAAATTTTAAAAATGCGCTAAACTACATACATACATAATATACATACAATTGTTAACATAGTTTCATATTATTACATCAGCATCTCTGTGGAACTATCACCTTGTTTCTTTTGTAGGGAATCTGAAACAAATATTAAATATTTACAATCACATCAAGGTCGTCTTTGATGACCCAGTAATGGGTGCGAGTCTCATGTAAACCGACAATTGAGTGTTATTATTTGACAGTATTTCCAATATTCCATGTAGGCACTAATCCAGGAAAGATTTGCCAGAAGCAACCACACTTACACACATCAAAAAAAGTTTGCGATCAATAGCATAAGCTCCTATAATTCTTTAAATTTAACTTTATCAAGAAAAAATCTATGTTGTATGCTTTCTTTAAATAGGAATACCCTGTTTGAAATTAAAATATAAAACTATTTTTTATTGTTTATTTTAAAAATTGAGCCATTAATCATAATGTAATAATGATAGAAATTTCATAGAAAGAAAAAGACTGTTTAATTAAACTTAAACAACAATTTATTATTAAAAGGTGTGAATTCAATATAAAATAACTCCTCCCCTGACTCGAATACATGCGAAGATCCTCCTATCCCATTCTTCAATAGCGGCTTCCCTGAGCTCTGGAACTGTTTGGGGACGTGGCTCACGGTTCCATACTGCTCGTTTAAGAGCATCCCACGCGTGCTCTATTGGGTTTAAGTCGGGCGAGCCGGCAGGCCAGTCTAATCGTGTGATATCGTATTCTTGAAGAGCAGCATTGACTCGTTGAGCTCGATGTGCGGGCGCATTATCATCGACCAGTACAAATTGGTGCCCATGGTTTACTCGGAATGGTCTGACGATATCATCAATAGCAACTGCTTTGTACATGTCTGCTGTCATGAAGCCCCGATACGGGATCAAAGGCGTTCTAGCTCCAATCATAATGCCACCCCAAAAGGACACCGATTTTCCGCCTTGCTGAACTGTTCCAGTGGCAGTTCTTTGTCTTTCACGGTCGCCTGGTCTTCTCCAGACACGGACACGTCGGTTATCTGGATGAGTGCTGATTCGGGATTCGTCAACGAAGAGACAGTTTTGCCAAATGTTTTCGTCCTCACCTTCTTCATTTTGCCGAAGTCTAGCCCACTGCAATCTTCGTTGTTGACGTTGCCGGGAATTGAGCGGAGCTCGCCAAGACCTCCGTGCTCGTAATCCAGCCTGGTGCAAGCAATTGCGAACGGTCTGCGTGCTAACTTCAAGCCCAGAGGCGGCCCTGACTTCTGCTTTTATTTTAGTGGCGTTGATTGTTGGATCACGGGCTGCCAGCAATCTAATATAGCGCTTTTGGGCAGCTGTCAAAACAGTTGGGCGACCGCTGCGGGGTCGGTCAGCTAAATTCCCCATTCCGTGATACCTCTGCAACGTAGCCACGACACAGGATTGGGATATAGTAAGTCTGCGTGCTATTACTCTCGTGGTGTATCCTTCTTCCCTCAAAGTTACTATTCTAGCTCGTAAAACCTCTGATAATCCTCTTGGCATTTTTTCAATCACAACTTTCCGCGAAAAATATCTTGAATCGCTTATAATTGACTAAATCAGATTTCTGAATGAGCGTAAGCTAGGACTGAAAGCCTTTTTATATGAAAAAACAATTGAACGGGGTCATTGTTTTATGTTCTAATTTATTTTTAAATATTTTAATTTTGTTCTAATTTATTTTTAATTTTTAAATCATAATATAATCTACAGTAACAAAAAAGATTTCAGTTTTTCGAAGTGATCGCAAACTTTTTTTGATGTGTGTATTTATCGATGTGGATTCGGGGTATAAATACAGGGGGTCGATTCAGAATCTTACAGTAACTCAGTTGTCGACCGATTCCATTTGATATCGTCGATTTCTTTTCATTTTTATTCACAACACCCGAATCGAACGTGAAACTGTCGAATTAGAAACCGAACCTAAATGACGTCACAATCGTACGATTACTCAAACTTCTCGACCGGCAAAGGCTACAAATGTTATTCAAAACACATTTATATATAGTAAAAGTTACCGAACGTCGTATTGTTTACAAAGCAAGAATGTAATATGGAAATCTCCATTGACTTACAAATAAATGGACGGCGGGTCTAGTACAAAAACCACGAAAAAAAATGTCCCAAGTCGACCTATTTAAACGTAGTGACATGTAAAGGAATATGAAAAAGCTAAAACGTTGAATGCTTGCTTCGCTGTCAGTCGAACAAACGAAGACTAAAGCGTGAATGACGCTCTGTATACGATTTTAACGCCCTATAAGTTCGGACACTTTTTAACGCGGACCCGACGTCCATATAATTGTAAGTCAATGGAAATCTCTTATTATTTTAAATAAAGTCCGGATTGTGTTCAATTTTATAAATTTACTTTAGTGCAAAACTAATTAGTGCATTCCTATATTTTAGGCCTTTAAAGTCTTAAAAATATATATAAAAGAATTTTCGTTTTTCATATAGTCTATTTCACCGACTAACTCCGTAAATGCTGTTGAATAACGATATCGTATCCGAGGCCAAATCGAAAGTTTAAATCGAATGTTTTGAATAGCTCGGAAAGCGCCCTTCAATTCGAGAACGATATGCAATCGAACGATTCGGTTAAAATATCGAAGAGTTCCGAATCGGGGTCCTGATCGGTATATTTTTTCAGTTGAATCGAAACGCGCGATCGGTTGCGACAAATTGTATGGCAATCAAAGGCATGTGAAAGTGATATCGTGAATAAAGTATACAAATTGAAGATTATCCGTTTCCTCTACCATCCGATCGCGCGATCAGCATATACAGACCCAGCAAGAAAAACCCTTACATCTATAATAAAAGACGTTTTATGGTTCACATTAGCTTTTGTGACGTGACTCGACACTCCGTAATAACTTTTTGACGTTTCAAAAGTCTGTACGTACTACACTAACATTAACTACTCTATATTCGCAGTAAATGTGATGACTTAACTAGCCTTTTTTTTTTTTTTTTTTTTTTACACCAACAACGCGCCCTTGCGAGAATTCAATTAAGTCGTAACGACAGATATTCGTGCAAGTTTAAAGTGTCGTGTCTTGTATATTTAAATGAAGTTGTTCACACATAGAACAACACAATTAATTGTCGTTAACGACTTTTATGACGTTACGACGACAGGCTGTCGTGATAATGGGAAGGGCTAGCACGACGGTCGGTCGTCTGACGATAAATAAAAAGTCACGACAAAAATGTGACGACAAATAGCGTCAAATGATTATGTCGTGCAAACGACAAGGCGGCTGCCGTGAATTGATAAATTGTCGCCACGGTCTAATGGGGAACACGATAATCGTTCAACGATAAAATGAACGTCCACGACATAATGGGAACGCGCCCTAACGTCATTATTTTACGGTTCAAAAATAACTCGTGTATATTATTCTGATAGCGCATACTGTGGTAACCTCCAAGTTGCTTTTAACTGCTGGTACTGTATATTCACCTTCGAGAAGCAATTAATAAAAAATTACATACACACCTGACTTAGCTTTTACCACCAGGAGAAGAATGGCGACTTGTGCTGGAAACGCTGTTGGAATGAGTCAAAGAAACGTGACGACGTAGACCCACTCTTCGACCTGGAAAAAAGTTACTTAAATAAAGACAAGCTCAAACTTGATCGCAGCGAACAGACATACTCCGGGGCAGAACCACCTATGCTTAAATAAATTTTTATTTTTTCAAAAGTATCTATAAGATTTCTATAAAATTCTATTCCCATTTAAAAAATATCTATAGCACTAGTTTCGTCGTAAACTTTCATTCAATGTGGTTGTTCTACGGAGCATTCACCCCAGCGGAACCACCAATAAGTATCTATTACTACACATAGTATAAGCAAATGTATGGCATCAAATAATTCTATAACAATTCTATATTGACCCAGCACTCAAACTCTCAATCTATTTTGAATATACGAACAAAACGATGCCCCAAACTTTCTCCTCGAAATAGTAGCTAAGCGCCTAAATAAAAGTTCTTAGCAAGGACATGAAATGTCATATTATGTACACTTCCAGGCGTTTATATAATAAGTCGTAAAATAAAACAAATATTGTCTCGTGTTACTGATGGAACAGTTATTTAACCTAGTATTTTCATGTCCTTTTCATGTTCGGGCTTATAAATGAATAAGTATAATTATTGTCAACGTGTAAGGTACACAATAAAAAAATAATGGAGCAAACTTACGCACGGAACTTAAGTAAAATCAACTACATTTGTAACATCATCTACTATTATATACTATACTATTTTTGTAAAATCGTTGAATCGAACCTCAGTGCAGCGTTTGCAACTGTTCCATTGTTTTATTCCAAACGTGCTCCCTCATAATATCCGTCGATTTATTTTTTGGCATGCCTCGTTTATTATGACAGTGAACTGTTAGCTTATTACTATCATTACGAGATTCACAGTAAATCTCTGTACTGTTCAAAATTACGCATGGAAAGAGATTATCAGCCCAATCAGAGCTTTAAATCACAAAAATCTAGTTGACAAGTTTCATCTGTCTGTAATTCCACTGATACCTTTACCCTTCAAAACTGGAACACAGTAAAGCTCACATGACTGCTGGGTGGCGGAACTAGATAAGTTAAGAAATAGGATTTTAATCAAGTAGATAATTTTAAGTGTAATTTGTTTATCTATGATATTTTAGCAGTAGAGCTCCTTGTGGAAGAGTTCTTCCTGGAAAGTACTGCCACCTTACCTGTTTCTGTCGCCAAGCAGTAATGTGGGCATTACTGCATTCCGGTTTAGAAGGGCAAGGGTGCTGGTGAAATTACAGACACATGGGACTTGTCAACTTATGTCTCGGAGTGACAGGCGCAGTGGCAATGCAACTGTTATGGACAGGCGTGTCGCTTACCACCAGCACGACATCTTCACTTGGTCTCATAAAAACAAACAAAAAACAGTTATTATAGTACGAACCTCTCGACGATGACGGCGGGCATCTGTACGAGCTGCACTGGGCTTTTATTGTCCTTCAAAGCCTGCGTCAGGTTGAGCACTTGGCCCCGCATTACCGACATTTGTCGCTCAAATAGGCCTTTGTCGAAACCCTTGTCTTGCTGCCAAATTAACAGGAAAACAATACGGTAAAAGTAGATACGTACTATATATTCTCAATAAATCAGTGTTATACCAGCCTTCCCTCGTTTCACTCATCGCCACCAGCTACCATCCTTACAGCCATGTAGCCAGGATTGCCAAATCCTGGCAGGATTCGAACCTGGAATCTTCTGGCAGAGGTTACCAAACCTTTTGTCTGGTAGACCATGCGCCAATTTTGTTTGTTTTTCGTACACCACCTGCCATTCTAATATTGATTTTTTTCACACACCATCGGCTAAATTTGAATGCCTCGTAACGCCGTTTTTGGGCGAATTCATTTTTTACTCCTCAAACGCAATATCGGACAATTTGTTTTTTTTTTTTTCAAACGCACACACTCATGTCCCCGCACTAGGGAAACCCTGTGTCGCGGGTGCCATGGACACACACATACATAACCACAAACCACACCCAAACTCAAGAGAGAAATAAAAGCGGACAATACAAATATTTATTTTTATTTCTTTTATTTATAGGGACCTCTGCGTGGCAGACAAGCATGGTAACCGTTTAGCCACGGAAGCAGTTAGATAGAAATAAAGTATCATGTTGTACATAGTTGTTCTAAACTAAGCCAAAATTTTCAACACTCATCGTCTCATACACTTCTGAAATATCCGTCCTTAGCCACTGGCAGGTACGCATAAAAATGTAAAACGCAAATTATAACGCGTACCTTGAATAACATGTGCAATTCATCACATAGCTCTTGTACGAAGTTCATGTCCGACAGCAGCGGCAGAACGAGTTCCCTGCAAATAAATTTAAAATAAATAATTAAGATAATCGTACCATAAAAATATACATACACACAAACGATATTCAAGACCCCCGAAGAATAAATATCGGGGGGTGAAACGAGGGACAAAAAAAATTAATATCCCTTAAACGTATATTTGGTAAAAGGTGAAAAGGTATTGGAAACGTATAATTAAAATAATGACAATTATTTATAAGGAATCAGGCCGGATCGAAGGGATTTTTTCTGAGTGTTCGATCTTTGTATTAATAATTTCTTTTAACGCACACACTCGCACACACTCAACATAACTATCTATAACTATCAATAAAAAATTAAAATACAGTGAATATAATTAGAATACAGCGACATTTCTCGCCAGGGCTGGTAGCTGTAAAGGTACTAACTGGGTGATAAGTCTTTCATAGATTCCTCATAGATGGCGCTACGACTAAAAAGTTTTTGAACACCAAATACAAAGACACGACGCAAGTACATAGAAAACATTCGTGAGGTCCGCTGGTACGTTCTGTGGCTTAGTTGGTTTAGCGTCTGGCACGGTATGCTAGAAGACGTCGGTCTGAATAAGGCCGGATCGAAGGAATTTTTTCTGAGTGTTCGTATTAATTTCTTTGTATTAATAATTATAATGATAATTACTTGGTCTCATGGCTGAAGGGTTGTTTGGCCTGCGGCAGCCATGCCCAATGGTAGGGGTACGCACGCCATGAGTCCGGATGCTTGAACGGGAACGCCAGACCGTTGTCGATAGCCGCGATCCGTACTTCTGTGCTGCCCTGTAAAAGTATTAACAATTGACTATAATGGATATGTTATACACATAAGAAAATAAATATTTTATTTAAATAAAGCTTATGACTAATTTTCAGTACTACGAGTTACAAATGCAACGGAATTAATAATATAATAATAATAATATTGATTTTCAAAAAATTTTTTTATTTACAACCTTAAATATAAAGTAAGGATTATTACAATACAAGATGAGATCCCTGACTCTCAAAGTATCACAATATGAGAGCCAGTGTTCCTCCGCGCGCTAGTGGATCTTACTCTACACAGGGAAACAACAAGGTCCACTGTTCTTTCAATTAGAATAAAAACAAAAAAGAGAAAAGATAATAATAAATTGTGTGTGTGTGTGTGTGTGTGTGTGTGTGTGTGTGTGTGTGTGTGT